TGGTTGTCTGTCTCTAAGTGTAGCCCTGTGATAGACTGGTTACCTGTCCAGGTGAACCTGCCTTCACCCTGAGTCAGCTGGGATAGACTCCGCCCCCCACAGTGAGGATGAAGGTGTAGAGATGATGGATGTTCTGGTTTGTTTAACGCTTACATACTTCCACATGTGTCTTCAGCAGAAGATAATTAGAACCAATCAGAACCAGTGACTGTCCAGATGCTCCTGACTGGATCATTTACTGATCGACTGGTTTCATGTCTGTGTTTTATTGTTTATGTTCTCGTCAGTCTCTGACTTGTTTCTGTGTCTCGGTTGTCTGAGAGCAGCTGCACAGTTCTGTGGTTCTGTGAAGACGGGCCTTTATCGGGGAGCAGACATCACCGGTTACCGTGACAACTAAATAACAAACAGTGCAAATAAATGTGTAGAAAACAGCGTAAAGCAGTCGCAGAGCTCTGGACAGAGTGCATCAGAACTAAAGCCCAACACGCTCCGCCCGGTTCAGTCCGGTTTAAGGGTCCATTCATGTGCTGCAGCACGTCTGGTCTGATCCAGAACCAGAGCGTGCTCACCTGTCTGTGTGCGCGTCACATTATCGTCCTACCGGAACCAGAAACACAAACCTGAGTTCTGCATCGGAACCCGAGTTATTTTAACAATATTTACGACTTAAGTTGAAGCAACATGAATGAACGTCGCTTCATTCATGAGATGAGGCTTCATACGACCGACCACTGACGTTAATCATGATTTATTCTGTCAGTGTCCATCAGAACCCGACTTCAGGATCAGAACTCTGTCTGAACTCAGCGAGTCGACGTCACATTTATGGAAGCGGAGATGGAACTGACGGAGAACACGTCTCTATGATCATTAAATCACCACAGAACCAGAGTTCAGGGACGACCTGCAGGTGTTCCGTGGTTCTGTTCTGGTCTGAGGACTGAGTGACCAGCTGAGTCCAGTCAGAGGACGAGCAGATCCAGCCTTCAGATCTAACCACTGGTTCCAGACGTTCTCTTGATTACACTCATCCTTCAAATCAGAACCAGTTCGGCCTTCGTTTCTTTGACCTTCTGTTTCTCTCAGCTTCAGATCCGTATGAAGCATTTCTGCAGCAAAGCTCTGTGTCCACACGCAGGAGAGCTGTGAGTCCACAGGTTTGTCCACGTGGACAAGAAGCTGCCAACAGGAATGTGTCTGTAGTTAAGTGTGCATCTGCTCATCTGTCTTAAAATGTGGACACGTAGTGGGAGCTGTCAGTACCTACAGAGGGATTAGAAGTTGAAAAATCTACGTATTCAAATACAAATGCTGAAAATAAAGACAAAGCACCAGGTAGGAGTCGAGCTGCTTCCCCATTGGCTGTCTTTGTTCACATGACTTTTGCTACACTTCTGCTGTGAGAGCATCTGGATCGTCCGGTGTGGCTGCTGCTCTGTGCCTCAGTAGCCACCAGGCGGCGCTGTGCCACACAGGTGTATGTAAACAAGCAAACTCTTTAATGCTCGTGCTACTTCATGGAGGCTTTGCTCAGCGACCCTTAAACTCAGCAGACGTAACTTGTTGACTTTTACCTGTGATATTATATTAATGAAGGCTCAGCAAGAGCCTCACTGATTATACAAACTACAACAAACATGAACATGAGCTCAGTGTTCGGTCAGGACTCCATCACTGTCTGCACCCGGCCTCACGGCGTCACGTCCACTCAGCTCACCTCCTACCTGGTGCTTTGTCTTTATTTTCAGCATTTGTATTTGAATACTCAGATTTTTCAACTTCTAATCCCTCTGTAGGTACTGACAGCTCTCAGTCTGGACACACAGCTCTCCATACAGATGGACAGTCATGATCCATACAGATGGACAGTCTACTCCACACGGATCTGAAAAGTCTGTTAGACATCAAATGAGAGTGAAAGTTGTAGAAGTACTCACGGACATGTTGCTCGTTTCTCTGCTGAGCTCTATAGNTGAAACCACAACATGATCTCTGAACAGGTTCAACCATCACATCCCTGCTGCTCCAGAACTCTGGACTTTATGTTCAGCCTGATGACTCGGCCCGGTGCTGGTCGGTGTCGGTCCTCACGTGCAGGTACCAGGTGTGCTTTCTGAAGCCAGCCAATGAGAGACAGGACGCAGCTCGACTGTGCTCTGATGTCAACAAGTGATGTAGAATGAACTCAGAAGGACCTCAGAGGGTTTAAGGCCAGAGCAGACGATGGCCGTCTCTGAAGGACAGAACCAGCCGTGATCAGAACCAGCCGTGATCAGAACCATGTGACTTTACCCAGAATCTGCACATTCATGTTAACATTTATCTACACGGATGAATCATTTAATGTTAACCGTCAGTTTCATTCCTGCTCTGATCCTTCAGATCAGCTCCTGCTGGGCTCATGTCTGAGCCGACAGCGCCACCCTGTGGACAGACGCTGTAACAGCAACACATGGTGCCATCAGGCCACCCTCCCCTCTGGTTGAAGACCAGAGTTCAGCTGATTCTGGATCTGATCTATGAGGTGACGCTGGGCTCATTTTGGACTCATTTATACTTTGAACAATGAGTCACGGCCCGGTTCTAATAGAACTCTCATACGTGTTAAAATCAGTTTTTCAGTGAAGATTCTGTTTTGTTTAAACTTTCTCTGGGTTTCAGGTTTTTCCTTTTTAAACAGACACTGACTCCATCAGCACTTCGTCTGGACCAGACAGCAGCTAGAACCGGTTCCTTATAACTCAGCACCAGGCTCTGGTTTAATGCTCAGGAACAGATTGTGTTTCATTTGAACCAATTAAACAGTTTTTCCTGTGGAGTGTTCTCCATCACACGGTCCAGTTCTAACGTTTACGTCTAAACACTCAGAACAAAGAGGATCCAGTGCAGCTGCTTTCCATCAACCTTTTATTAAGAAGCTCAGCACATGACAGTGGCCTAGAAGAAGGTGTTTGGTCTCTTGGTGGTGAAGCGAGGTTTGTGCTGGCGACGCAGGACCCGGTGGGGCAGCGGGAACTTGATCTTGGAGTCCTGAAAGAAGCACAGCGACAGTCAGACACCGGGCCGAACCAGCAGAACAAACACTGAAAGCATCGTCTGTCGCCAGTTTCACGACCGCCAGGTCTGCAGACGGACGCCGTAGACCTGGAAGAGGAACCTGGCTGTTGCTGTGGCGGGTTTTTAAACTGGAGCTGCCGACATGGCGCCAGACCAGAGAGAGACCCGACGGTCCAGGACCGGCCGTGACCAGAACACTCACGTGGAACTGCTTGATGGCGGGTCTGCGACACTTGTTGGCGGCGATCACCTGGACCTTCATGATCTGGATGGAGTGAGCACGAGCACGGTGGCGAGCTCCCATATCCCGATCTGAACACAGAACACAGAGGTTAGCACCAACCCGCTGAATCTAGTCGGTACCGGGTCAGCGCCAGCAGCACGACTGACTGGTGGCTGCAGAACCACAGCTCAGCCGCAGAGGAAACGTTCTCCCTAAAACCATCACATTGATTAAAATCACGTTTCTGTCGAGAAGATTTGGAGCGAGTCTGTAAAAACAGAAGAACTGTGACGGCCAGTGTTTCTACAGAACCGAACGGGAGCAGAGACGGATCACCTGTGGACGCTGGTCCACCTGCACAGAGCAGCTCTTCAACCACTCAGACCTCAGAGGCTGAACTGGACCAAGAGACTGTGGATGAAGCTCGGGAACATTCAGAGACCATCAGAGCTCCTCCTAAACGCTGGGAGACACTCGGNATTATTATTATTACTATTATTATTATCATTATCATTATTATTATTATTCTAGTTACTACTACTACATGCAACAGGAGCCTGTTGCCCCAGATGGTTGTTTTTAGGTTAGTTAAACGTTAACTACTGGGATGAACACAGGCAGACGTCTGGCTCAGCTGGTTCTGATTCCAGGTCACATCAGGTCAGAATCCTATCTAGGTGACGTTCTGATAGATTCTGATGAGGTGCTGGTGGGAGGTTCTGTTGGGTTTAGAGGGTCGGGACTCACTGCAGCGTCTTGATGAACCTGGAGAACAGGTAGGCCACCCGGCTGCGCACCTTGGGGCTGTTGTGTCTCAGTCCTCTCTGGTCCAGAAACGCCATCTGACAGTGAACAGAACACGGTCAGCCCAGTAAGAGTGCTCCAGGAGAACCAGTCACTGATCAGCTGATTGATTAATGGAAAAAACACGACTTCACTTAACGATTGTTTAGTTTTAAAATATTCTGGAAAACTCTAATCTTCCTGATGAGTAACAGAAGAATCTCCAGTGTTCTGTCAGTGACCCGATCAATAGTTCTGATCAGTAGCTGATCACCTTCAGATGTTACGGGTCTTAGTCATAAACACACACAGCAGTGATACGTCAGATCCATGCAGAGGAATGTGAACTCTGAGACGTGGTGAAGGAGGACCAGGTGTCAAGAAACGCTCAGTTACTCACATTAGTACTTGAGTAAAAGTACTCAGTTACTCTGCTCACCAGGACGTTGGGAATGTGCTGCGGCTCCACGATGAAGAACTTATCGTATCGGACGACGGTCTCAAAGAACTCCAGGGACACGGAGGTGTGCTGGTAGCTGCTGACGCCGCAGGACACCAGCTGGAACCAGAAAACCAGAGAGACCATGAAACCAGTGAAACCAGTGAAACCAGTGTGAGTTGATGGGAGGGGGGCTGCAGCTCATGCAGTCATGTGACCTACCGTCCGCATCATGTCCTGCAAAGCGCTGGTCTTGGCCGAGTCCCCGCTGAAGTGGGCTCCGTGGGACGCCGGCAGAGCTTCTCCCAGCATGTAGAGCAGCCGGATGGCCACCTCCACCTCCATGAAGGCAGCCGACTGCCACGCCCTGACAGGAAGTGATGTCATCAGCGTCAGTTAGTCTAACAGCCACGTAAACCATTGATTCCTCGTCTCCGTCACCAAACGTGAGGACGTGTGAATGTTTTCCATCCACGTGTCTTCACCTAACACTGATCATTCAGGAGATCTGTCATCATGTCTCCAGACCTGGACCATGACGATCATCACATGTACTTCATCTAAAGTCCTCTGGTTTTCTGTCTGCAGTGGGTTTCAGAGGCCTGCCAGCTCTGAAACATCTACATGACACTAATTACTGGATTTCAGCTGTCCGATGGTCCTTGAATGCATCGTCTGCTGCGTTGGAAAAAAGACCAAGTCTGAGCCTGAAGCACAGAGTTCATGATCAATACTTCATCAGATTAGTTATGATATCTATTTATTAGTGATAGAATTATTCTACGAGTGCTGAGGTGCTTCTCCAGGAGGACAGGATGGAAACATCATGAACTAAACATTTAATATGACGTTTCCAGGGTTGGTAACACCTCAGCAGCTTGGACACATGCTGAGTCCAGGATTTCACATTTTATAAAATCAACATGGAAAAACGATTCTTTTCTTCTGGTTTCCATCGTTCTAACTGAGTCCTACTGACAGAGGACACCTGAGAGCTGCAGGACTGACTGTTGCCGTGACAGCGAGGCTGGTGGTGGGCGTCTTACTGCATGGTGTTGGTGAAGACCCGGCGGACGGCTTCCAGCAGCAGCTCTGGAGAAACCTGAGCGAGTCGGTCCAGCAGCATCTTCAGCTGCTTCCTGTATTCCACAAACATGGCCTCGTCCTCGCCCTGAAGAACAAAACCACAGCGTTCTCCAAACGTTCTCCAAACCAACAGCCGACGCTCAGCACTGAAACTCACCTCGTTCTCAAAATTGTACTCGTCGTCATACGTCAGTTTCTTCATGACAGCGAGCATGATGGCCTGCACAGAGAACATCGCTTTATTAACCTCTACGTGAACATCTGCTGGACCTGAAGCTTGGCTGGAGGCAGACTCACCTCGATGTTGGCCTTCTGCTGGTCGGTCAGCTGAGGAAGCTGCACACAGACAGTCACATGTGAGAAGACTGGAGCTAACGTTAGCGTCTCCACTGACTAACAGTGAAGCAGGGACGATGACGTCATCACTCACCTGCTTGAGGACGTGCAGGTACTCGTAGCAGAAGCCCACGATGTTGGCTGAGATGTCGTCGTCCTCGTGGACCAGCAGCTGCAGCAGCAGGGGAACTTTGGCCTCCAGCGCCTGCAGCGTCTCCGCCGCCTCCTTCACGCTGCCGGCCTTGGCCAGCTTGGTCCAGCTCAGCACCAGGCTCTGACCCATCCCGTTCACCAGCCGCGAGAACTTGGCCAGGAAGTCCACGTCCTCCTCCTGAGGAGACACAGAGCCGCGTCAGACGGGGCTGGACGGCGAACTCACACCTGTACAGGTAACGAAGGCTCACCTGCTCCACGTTGAAGAAGCCGGCAGACTGCAGCACCTGGCACAGGGACTCCACCAGCTTGGTCTTGTCCACCGGGTCCATGCCCTTGTTGATGATTTCAAACAGGCAGTCGCAGGCCTCCTCACGCAGCTCCTCCACCGACATCTGGCTCAGCAGCAGGTTCACAAAGCTGCACGCACGGCAGACACGCAACACANTAATTGCTGATAATTATTTATCTGAACAAACGGACCAACGAACGAAGCAGGTCGATTAGTAAACACTTTATTGGTTCTAACAAATGTTCAAACAGAAAATTCATCAAAAATAAATCTCAACACGTTTCATCATCAATGAACAAATTCATTCATTTGGCAAGTTTCCATCTGATTGAACAGAAATAAAATCAGGCAGCAGGAACCTGAACACTGGCCCATAAACATCCACTAACTGGGTGGAGTGGAGGTTAGAACATCTGGTGGAGTTTAGTGTGACAACAACCACAAAGACATCGATCAGGCTGATTGGACTTTAAAGGTGAATAACGTGAAACTCTGAACTGTTGCGATTTGATTTTAGTGACTTTACAGAAGAGCACCTGTACGGAGGCCAAACCGTGTCGACACCGAAGGAACTTTAAAAATGAACAGTTCACGATGTGAGGAACAGTTAGCTTCTTTCTTACGTGTTCAGATGGAAATCAGTCTAAGATCTGTGTGTTAATCAAGCTGTGGTTAGCCTAGCTTAGCTTGTTAGCAAGAAACAGCCCCACAGTCATCTTAACATTTACAGTCATTCATCAAGATTCTGCTACTGTGAGTTTTTAGAGGTGCTGTTACGAGTATCTTTAGATTTATTTTAGCTTTGGACAGTGTTAGGCTAGCCGTTTCCCTTTGCTTCCAGATATGCTAAGCTAAGCTAAGCTAACTACTGAACAGACTTGAGATTAATCTGTCTAAACATCTCCCAAATAGACATAATGCAATTTTCCCAAGACACTGAAGTATTCCTTAAAAAACACCTGAAGTCCTTGTAGCCATGTTTTTTTTACCTTTCTGTGGAAGCCACCACATCTGCCACTAAAGACAAAATAAAGTCACTAGAGTCAGTAAAAAAAAAAAAAAGTCAAAAATGTACCTTTTAACTGTTACTTGTGAGATCAGGACTAACTGAACTCTTATTTCACTGGCAGAAACAGGCTTCCATACATACACTTATTTATTTGATATCAAAAATACAATACAAAAGTTTAAAGATCCAGTTGAGTAGTTTCATTTATTTGTTGTGTTTATAGTTTGAATGGTTTTATCTCTGTATGTCCACTACAAGAACATGTCTAGCCTAGCTTAGGACAAAGAAAGAGTAGCTACAAATCATTAGGTGGCTTTTCACATTGGCTTAGGCTCGTTATTTGTAGCTAGCAGTTGTTTCTAACTAGTGTTACACCAGGACATGACTAGCCTAGCTTAGCTCAAAAACTAGAAGCAGTAGCTTGATAGTTAGCACTGGGGCTTTTGCTTACCCAACAATGCAATAAAAAAAAAATCATTAAATGAACCTTCCACCAATGTATGAACAAGTCTGATTTGCAGACACAGCCCTAGGATATGGCTAGCCTAGCTTAGCACAAATACTATAAGCAAAGAGTAACAGCTAGCCTATATCTGTACCTACAGTCAACATATCCAACATTGTGCTAGTTGTTTGTTGCTACTTGATATTGTGGTAGTTACTGTAGCTAACGGTTGCTAAATGTTGAGCACACAGAAGCAGGGAGAAACTGCTAGCCTAGCTTACATCAAAACTGAAATAATCCACCTTCCATCAGCCATGAGATAGTTCAATGTACATGCTTAACAGGTCCAGAAATAAAAAATGTATAAAAGGGTCATTGTGGTTTTAGCAGCAGTTAGCATTAGCTTGTTAGCTAAGAACATGTAAATCACTCAGACTGAGCTGTTAGAAGGTGGATGTTACCATGTTGGGGGCACTAATCTACTTCAGTTACAAACAGCTAACATGATGCTAGATATGCTAACTACTAAATAGCTATAAAAAGCTACAAAGGCCAAACAAAAAGCTAATACGAAGGTCTTATTATGCTGGATGTTTGAGGCTACTTGGGTTAGCAGTTTCCCTCCACTTCTGGTCTTCGTGCTAAGCTAGGCTAAACATTTCTGTAGCTGACAGAGACAAAACCATCATCAATGCTTTCGTCTGACTCTGGGTGAAGCCTGAAGAACACTTCCTGATTCAGACTAGCTTCATGCTAAGTCTGATTAGCAGGACGTTTGGGTTTGTTGCCTCAGAAGATTGAATTTGTTTCCACAGAAGAACCTTTAATTCCGACACTGAAAAGCTGTTTGGGCCAAATTCCTCCTGATGTGTTGCAGATTCACTGAGTTGTTAAAGAATCCATCTGGTGCCGTTTAATGCGACTTTCTCGTCAACAAATCCCAAATAAATACTGAACTTCTTCCTGTCTAACATTTACAGAAACCTAAAGCTGTTCCAGTGAATTTCTGATCGTTTGAAACAACAGATTCATGTGTTTGGGAGCTTCACGTGGACTTCAGCAGGAACCAGACGGGCCGAAGCTCTGAGGTTTGGTTTCTCACAGTTTTAACATAAACATGTAGAAAACCTCCAGACTAAACGCTAAGCTAGTTTTATTCATTGTGGGACTTTTATCGACAGCAGCACATTCAGGCACTTTCTCTGGAGGCAGCGATTCAAGGAAAACACCGGAGAGAACCAAAGAACCGACTCTCAGGGAACCCAGCCTGTTTGAAGGACCGGCACTGACCCGACAGGTGAGAGGAGGTTTGTCTACAAATGAAACTGATTGTTGCACAAAGTGTTTTCAGCTCCTTCACAGTTTTTCTCTTTTTGCATAATCAACCGCCTGAATTGTCTCTTTGCTATGAAACTCATGGAGCTGCTTCTGTACACGCCGACGTCCACGTTTTACACCAACTCGTCTGTGTTCTCTACGGAAGCCCATAAACGCCAAGAAAAAACGAGTAAATGTTGGAACGATGAAACGTTAATCAGTGAAAACTGACTTTAGGCAAAACAATATTTAGAAATAACTGAATTATGATCAGAAGTAAAACGTTTCACTGCATCTCAGCTGCAAACGTTTAAATTTACTGAGTCAATTCCAAAGTTTTGATAATTCAAATTTAAAGTTTAGATTTTTAAAGTCACAAACATACGGAAGGTTAAAGTTGTGGTTTATCGGCTTCGTCACAATATCGCAAGAAAAAACACAAACTATGATAAATAAAGATACGAGTCATGTTTGTGAAACGGTAACTGAACAGTTTCACTTTTAACTCGAGTTGCAGATCAAACTTATTAAATTTAAAATCAAAATATTCATCCATCCATCTATCATCCCTACACCTTAACCCTCAGTGGGGTTGCGGGGGGCGGAGCCTATTCCAGCTGACTCAAGGGGAAATCAAAATATTATCAATAAAAGTGAAAAATAAAAAATACTGAATGCAATATTAAATACTTACTTTCAAGCTCACATTTCTGAGATTCACAGGATCAAAGCCAATCAGACAGCTTCAGCGATGAGTCCCAATCTTTACTTGCACTGAATTTGTCTCGTTTTTCTGGCAGAGATGAGCTTCCGTACAGGATGAATTAAAAAAGAAAACTAAGCCTAGAACTTTATTTACATTTTAACATCTTATTCTCTTATTTACACTTTGTTCCTCCACTTTAAGTTCATTTCATCTGAAGTCAGAACAGCCCAAAACCTCCCGTGTTAAATCCCAGAACCAGGAGTCCAGTTTGTCCCTCAGAGCAGCTGACCAGGTACCGACCCGGTGAGAGAAACCCACAGGATCTGCTGCTGCGCTCAGACTCGAGCTGCATCGTTTCACTTCAAACCTCAAATCAACCATTCGACACGTTAAAAAGATCGATGCCACCTTTAAATAAAAACACACCATCGGGTCTGACCCGGTCCGTTCTGTGGCAGCAAACTCCTGAAAAGAAAAACTCAAATCTAGCCTCTTTGAAATGTGGTGTTTCTGACGCGGGTCGACCGGAGTGAAGCTGCGGTGGTCCGACTCGACCCGATGGTTACCAAAGACGTCCTGCAGATCTGCCTCCGACTCGTCCGGATCAGAACCTCCTCCGGACAGCTCGGCTCCCGGAGCCTCTGGGCTCACGTGGCCGGTCCGGCTCGGTGATGCGTTTACTCTTTAAGTGCAAAGCAGCTCCTACGCTAAGTTCCTGTTTTATTTTGACAGTGGCGAGGCCACCACTTCCTGCCAGTCCTTCAGTCCCAGTCAGCTTCCAGTTTGACTGCTACAGCTTCGCTCGCTGGAAAAACGCCTGCAGAAGAAGAAGAAGGTCAGCGTGAGACAGTGAGCAGAACCAGAACCAGAGCCAGAACCAGAACCGAGCAGTCGTACCTTAATGTAGTTTTTCAGGACTTTGACGTCGGGCTGCTGCAGAACCTGACACAGTTCCTGATGACAACACAAACACAACCAATAAAGAACGTTAACAGAAACATGATCAGAACCAACAACCTGCTGATCGGGTCAAAGACCCAGAACAGTCGACAGCTCCACGTCCAGATGAGTTAAACGGGTCGGTCAACATTACAGAGACATCCAGAACCAGTTAGAAAAGACGCAGCACAGAACAAACAGACAGAACCACAAGTGAAGGAATGAAAAACAAAACAGAACAAAAAGAAGAAACACAGAAAGTTATTGAAGTTGATCAATAAACTGAAATAAAATCAATAAACAGAAAAAGACCAACGACTCTTTTTTATCATCGTTGATGAAACTAAAGAAATTTAAATTCTACTAATTCTCTTTAAACCCAAACTGCGGACCGAAGCCCGGACCTGTTCACGTTAAAGCTTCCTGATCAGGTGAGCTGAACCCGTCTCACCTGGGAGATCTCTGGAGACACCTGCAGCGAGGGCAGGTAGTCCTGCTGCAGGAACTGGATGAACTCTGGACCCTGGAACACAAACACCTTCAGCATTCACACAGAACCAACAACAGAACCTCAAGCTGCTTCAGGCCATAAAACCTGGTTACCCGTTTGAGATGAATCATCTTCAGCGTGAGGGCGCACTCCGACAGCGTCTGGAAAACATCACAGTCACTCACAGCTCCACCACAACCAAAACTAAACGCTCTCACAACGTTCAGCTGCAGCAGCGACTCACCAGAACCGTCTGAGCGTCCGACAGGTCGAAGGTGGGTTTGAGCGGCGCCAGGAAGCAGGCGGGGACGATGTGTTTGTAGATGAAGTCGGGGAAGCCCACCATCCCGTCTTTACCTCCTGAACAACAACAGAGACGAGTTGGACGCTGCTCAGCTATTCAGTCTCACCTCCAGATGTTCCTCAGGTTCCTCACACTCACCCCACAGCTCCACCAGCTTGGACAGGATGATGAAGCAGGTCTTCTGAGCGATGGGGTCCGGGAAGTCCACGGCTCCCTGAATGATGGTGAAGACGACTCGCTCGATGTTTTCTGCTCCTGGANGTCTGTCAGCGCTGGTGGACTTCCATCTACACCAGTCTGTCAGTGCTGGTGGACTTCCATCTACACCAGTCTGTCAGTGCTGGTGGACTTCCTTCCTTCCTCGTCTGACTTTCTTTATGTTCAGATTCGTCTCCTCAAACCTTTTCTCTCTTTAATCGCTCAGTTCAGACGTAATACAACCATCATCTGTCTTCACGATGTGTGACTGGACATGTAGAAAAATAAACTCTTGATGGTGACCTCTGCTGTGTGTAGGAGGAAATAACAACAACAACAACAACAACAACCACCTCCGCTGTGTGCAGGATGTCTCGGTCCACCACCTCGGCGTCGATGGCCATCAGCGTCCTCAGGTAGACGTCGACTCCGTGAGGGTTCAGGCCGACCAGCGTCAGGATGTCGAAGAAGAACTTTGGCCACAGAGTGAGGTACTCCATGATGAAGGTGAGGGCGAACACCTGGGCCGCCTTGTTCCTGATGAAGGGCTTCTCCGGCTGAGCGTTCATCAGCTGCACAGACACCATCAGTAACAGCAGAGAACCACCAACACAACGTGCACACAGGAAACCTGCAACCCACAACACCAGAACCCACCTGACACTGGAGCCACTTCATCAGGGTCTCTCTGATGAGCTGCTGCTGCACTGCACTCAGTCCAGCATGTCTGCAACAGGAACAGGTGAGAGCAGCTCAGACAGGTGACACCAAGCAGGCAGCACAGCAACCCGAAGGATCGGAGCCTCACCTGAACCGGATCTGATGCTCCAGAACTTGGAAGCAGAAGAACTTGACGTGGTCGTCACTGGAAGACAGAGCAGGTTTCAGGGCTGTGGAGCAGCAGGACATCTGACTGCAGGTGTGCAGGTGTGAACTCACCTGTAAATGCCTTTAGCCAGAGCCTCTGCACACACCTCCCAGGCATCCTGAGACTCCTTCAGCTGCTCAAAGTAAGCCATGGCCTGGACACAGAGCAGTCAGCACCATCAGCTGGACCTCCTGCATGAGGCAGCGCTTCCCTCACAAGGAACCACACCTCATGTGTTCAGGCTCCACAACACAAGAACACACACACTCT